GTAACCCGGATTGTTGAAGCTCCCTTTTTTCTTCTCCAGTGGCTCGCTGAAGATAATGATCTGCTCAAACATGAAGACCCTCCGCTCCTTGAACTTCATGTTGCTGAGGTTCTCGGTGATGCTGAGAGTGCCTTGACGTAGAAGCTTCCCTTGGGCAGTGATCTTCCCCTGTGAACAGATTCAAACAGTGTCAACAGCCATTAGCTGGTGTTTTGGTCTAAGGCTCTGATAACAGTGGGGTTGCAATAAGCAATAGCCATTGCCATAGCCTGAAAAGACCAATTTGGGCTTGGGAAGCAATTAGTTTGCACTGGGGCACTATGTGCTTTTGTCATCCACTCTGGCTTGGTATGACAGATAGCAGTATTGCAATAGTTCAGTAAAAAATGAAAGGCCAAGGGCAGGATTGAAAGAGGAATATTAGGGAAGAACTTCATAAACCTGAAGGCCTTAAGGATTTGGAATCAGTTTTGATTTAATTTGTGCTTCGGTGTTTTCAAAAAGAAACCTTTATTCTATGTGCTGCTGGTATAAAAACATGCAGAGGATGTACAAAAGGCATATACATTCCCAAGTTCTCAAAAAGAGTGACTACGAGGGAGATGATGGGGACTTACGTCAAAGCCTTGTAGTCTGCTGATGGCCATCATGTCGTTGGCTCTCTTAGGGACAACACACATTATCTGAACTGCCGCCTGGTGGACAGAAAACATGTGGTAGTTAATTAATTGCTCTTAATACTGCTTGCTCTGAGAATATAATGACCCGTTATCAGAAAGGGAAGAGCATTAACATGACAGGTATTTGATGTCTTACCTCCAGTGTTTCTGTGTCTAACCCAGCCTTCTTTGTCTGTTTCAGGAAATCCTGCAAGAATAAACAAACTTTCATGACGTCTAGTTTGTCCTCAGTGAAGGTCATAAGACAGTGGTTACTGCAGCAAATGTTACGTGGAAATTGGGAGTGGGGCATGGAGCAACGGGGAGGGGGGGGGGAGGGAGATGACTGTTGGTGATATTCATTCCCATGTAGCTACATGATAAATGCCATTTTACCATGCACCGATAACCACCAGTTTGCCTTGAAACTGCTGCTTGGGATCAAGTAGAAGAGACTTCTTAAGATTCACAGACATTTTCCTATGATCCAGGAAAAGTGTGAAAATTGTCCAACTCACCTTCAGAAGCAGCTGATATTTCATGATTCGTTGGACTGGCTTAATTAGGAGATCAGCCAGGGCTAACTTGTGACCTAGTTTGACTCGTACTTCCTGCAATACCCATGCAAAAAAAAGGACATAAATTCAGTTAGTTAAAAACTTAAGCCAATTTCAGATCCAAGAAACAATACATAAATTATCATCTCTTATTTCACTCTGTTATAACATTCTCTCTTCATTCTAATTGTGATGTATGAAAATAAACCAACCACCATGTCTCAAATGACAAAAATTTCAACCATCATCAACCAACTCAATCTATTTTTCACATATAAACTCATTTTGATAGGGAAATTTGGGTAATATTATACTTCAGAGATACTTACATCGAAGAATGATTCATACTCTGAGACAATGAATTCTGATTTGGGCTTGTTCTGGCAATAAACCACGTACATCTGTAACCTCCTCTCCTGAAACAAAAAAACACAGACACAAAAATCAGTTCAGAAACATCATGACGAATTGAAAGTGTCAGATCTATGATACTCAATCCAGGGCTGTGACTGGTTGAACTCTATGTATAAAACAGAAGAACAAACTCTGGCATTCAACTGGGAAGTAAGAAAATGCCGGAATTCCAAATGTCACATAACTTTGGACAGTTGCAGTAACATACAATGGAAGTGAAAAAAGGACAAAATCAGCCGATCACAGGAAAAATTGCATGTCTGAAGACTGCAACAATGCTATTAAAATTTATCCAGATAAATTGAGTAACTGCAAAGTTCTCCTCACGTATTTCTTAAAGAGGCCTCCAAGGAGTCCAGGATTTTCAAAACACTTGGCAATCTCTGCAGAAAAAGTTCTGTGGATGAAAACAAAAACAATGTTGCTGATGGTGACTTCAATTATTGACAGGACTCCTGCATTACATGATGCTATTTTGTTTCAACAAGTACATGTTATGTTGACTTTCTCCATCTCTCCCTCAACAAACATGCATGTACATGTACCTACAGTCGAAATGAGAAACATGTTTCTGACAAAATGCCTCTCTTTATGTGTCTTTGTCATAACCCATGACATATGAACCTAATTTATTCTTCCTGATGCCATGACCCATGACACTTGACCCACAACTGACGTTCTGGTTGTCCATTATACACTTACTCTTTATGCCAGTCATATATTTGATGGATGTTACCAAAAACTATCTTTATCTTGCCTTCTTCAAGACCTTCTGGTTTCTGACAATTCTCATCTTTGAGGAACACAATGTATTCCTGTAAGAAAGAGAACAAAAACTCCAGATTCACAGAAAACTGTCTTGGACAGTAGAGAGCAGCAGAAATGGCTAATTTCACATGACATAAAAATAAATCCTAACATAACATTCTATTTTCATGGTTAACCACTTTGTGCCGGGGTACACAGTTTCAGGGACATAGGCTTTACATACGAAGCTGGGGAGCCCAAAACCGGAGAAAAGAGCTGGGCCTTCTAACAAAAGACCGTACTTGGAACAAAAGACTGAGCTGCTGGAATTGCCAACATTTTTTCAGTTGTTCAGCGGAGGAAATCCGTCATTGTTTTGAAAGATTATACCACTGTTTGTGGCGTTCAGAATGAGCGGATTACCACCAGGTACAAAAGTGCTCCAGTGCTCCGTGATACAATACCGCTGCACACTAATCTGGCCCATATTGAAAATATGCCAGCAGTGCACTGTGCCGGTTTTGGGAACAAAAGAAACTTACACAACACTGCACAATCTGGGCTTTTTTACAAGGCGGCAGGCCTGGCTGCAATACTCGGGCTTCAATAAATGTTGTCTGTCAGATTAGAGTAGCAACCAGAGAGTCATTCGTGTGGGTGTAAATGTCCAGTAAATGAAATTTTTAAAGAATTTTGAAAACAGAAAAAATAAAAAATTACTTGGCCCAGCAGAATCAACATGGATAAATGGGCCCGGCGCAAAGTGGTTAAAAAGAATGTACATGTATATTATGCTCAGACACATCTTTGTATGAATACATGTAAAGGTGCCATTCCATGCAAATACCGGTATATTACGTGCATGTCCTCTCATAGGACTGCGCTACACTTTGCCACCTGTTATCGTAGTGTATAAGTGCAGGATGTTCAGCTTTGAAATTCTAGATGAAATCTAATATTACAAATCATGGAATCTGGAAACAATATCCATTGTTTGTGGCAAGAGTAACATATTTACCCTGGATTTTGTGTTGATTATCTCGGAATTTCGAAGGAATCTTATTTAATTACATATTCTTACGTACCGTTTGCACAAAGCAACCATCTTGGAGGTGTTCTAGTGTGCATAAGGTCTACTCATGCTATATCTCTGTGATCACATATAGATATCTCCAAGATGGTCACATGGGCATTACCATTCTTTACAGGTCTTTAATGAATCTATTATTTGCTACCATCTTACCTCTACAATTTTGCCCAGGTCTTTCACATAATCCTTCTCTGTCTCCTGTATTTCAGCCATAATGTATCTGTCAAAAAAGAAAGGAAGACAAGCCAAATCATTAGGGATAACCTGGAGTTGGGTAGTGGGGTATCAAGGTGGAACTTGAAACTAAATGCTCCTGCTTGCTTCCACAATATCTGCTGAGAACCAGGCATTCACAACAACACTGCTACCTCGGTAACCCCTCTTTCCTGGGCATTTCTGAGCACTCAGCATGTTCCACGACATCTGTTTGTCACCACTTACGATCTCTTCTGAAGAGCTGCTTCTTTCTTGGCCTCTTCCTGCTGTGCCTCTGTATCGCCTGTCTCCCCTTCGTCATCAGATGTAGGTGATGTTGTCTGCTCTAGATCACCCAGACTGATGTCTCCTTTGGCTACCTCATCCTCCTCAGCTTGGCCTGATTGACCTTCTTTGTCTGCCTCAGATGCGTCACCATTGGTGTTGGCAAAATCCTTTGAGGGATTGACACCTTCCCCATCCTCCTTAAGACAAAGAATTGGCACAGTTATAAGATTTCAAGAGTAAATAGTAAGTATTACTGAAAAGCAACATCTAGAACACTTTCATGACAAAAACTCTTGGCGAGCGTTAAAAAACAGGTTTTCCCCACCAAAATTATGTCTCAAATACCTTGTGTTTTTCTGAGAAACTCTGATCTGCAGGAGTGTTTAATAAATCAAGAGTGCATATAACTTCAACATGAAATATGCAACAAAATGTGTAAAAAAAAGACTACCTTCGGGCAAAGCTATGTCGCACCTTTCAATAATTTAATAAATAGACAGGGCTTATTTTTCAGCTTGATGAATTTGTGAGACTGCAGACGAGAATGTCACTTATATTAGCCAGTGACATTTCTGTGCCAAATTCACTTTATGCACATCAGATGCAATGTAATAATCCGTTTTTGCTCCAAGCCAAAAGTTCACTTGACACGCCCAGAACTCCCCTTTCGGAATGAAAAAACCTCTCAGAGACTCAGACAGTAACTGAATGAGAACTGAACAGAATGAGTCAGAAAAAAGAGAGGACTTGGAGAGAGAATTCTTATGACAGAAGGAAACCTGAGTGGGGGGAAGTGAGCGATGGAGGTGCATGCCACTCTCTGAAGATAATCCAGGCTGATTATTACTGATTAATCCCTTGATTCAATTGCTTCATTCAGAAATTGACCATTCCCTTGGTAGTGAAATACAACTCTGTCCCTGTGTCTATACTCATGTGATATCACCCTGGGGCAACACATATCACTTTGACAATTTCAAAGGACAAAAAGCAGTGATTCTCTCACAAAAACTTTTGGAACCACACTTGCCTACATACAACAAAACCAGGAATTTCCACCAAGCAATGACTAATACCCCACAACCCAACAGCAACAATTTTTGGATTTAGGGCTCTGAGAATTTTAACAAGAAAGTTTTTCACAGAGGGTGTTCATTGTTTTGAAAACTAGGGGTTGGCTGGTGGGGAAGGAACATTTTTCTGGACATTAGAAATTTGAAAAGTGTTAGCCTGGGTAGAGTTGACTCAGAATAACATTTGAAGGAAATACAGCACATCAACTGTCATAAGGGGAGTACCATCTGATTCGACAAATCACTCTCTTTGCTTAAAATAACACCAAAGGAAAGACACAACTGACCATACAAATATGATGCTCAAAAGAAAAGCTGACCTCACCAGCAACACACTATAAACATTTTAGCAAAATTAGCACTGAAATTACTTAAAGCACTCAGCAACCACACAAATAGCTTGCAGTAAAATAATTGTTTTAATTTTAAAAAAATTACAAGTTTTTTGACAATGAAAACCAAATAAAGCAGAGGCACAAAATCTATATACATCTACAATTCACACGGAAAACAAAATTTCTTATTAATTTTTTCCAGAAAAAAAAAGATGATTCTCACAACCAACAACACATACCCTTTTCTGGCCAACCATTTGCTCAATTTCGGAGATTGGGTCCGGTCCTGAGCCAGCCACATCAGGTGTGGGGCCAAGGGACAGAAGTGACTAAGGTATGGGTGACGGATGCAAGAGGAGGTGATAAAGAGATGAGGTACGAGACTTAGATAAGTTTTGATTTAGTTAATTGAGTGCGAACAGTCAATGTGTATGAGGGTGTCATCGGTGTCCACTCAAAAATGACAGCACTATGTCAGGTATTGTACACAAGAACTTATCTGTGACATAATAACTGTCGAATGACGTGAGACCTGTCCTGTGCCACAAAACTGCTTGTGTTGACAACTTTTAAGAACAAAAGCTGATGCACTTTCTTGCATTAAGCCACCGCTTTTAGGTACCCTCATTTGTGCTTCAAACCTGAGATTCGTCAATTGAATCTGAAATACTTTCACTTAAATAACAATTACAGCAGCAGGTACGGCACATCTGGATGCTGTACCTGTCACACAATTACTGAATGTGACTGATAATGGAAACATATTTTGTTTCACCAATTCATAACAATAAACTACTGGTACCACTGTCTGTGAAATTAGGAAACATCTCCAAGTAAAAGTTCACAGTAAGTAATTGTACCAACAGAATGACTCATTATACAACCTTTCCATCAGTTCCTTCTTGTGAATATATCGCCAAGAATTTGAGGCATTATGTCTTTGAGGAAGACATACCAATGTTGCAATTATTGCTTCTGTTCAGTAGGAAGGAAGGGTAATGTTGGTGTCTGTGTAGTATGCAATGGCTCTGAGATCATGAACATGTTTCCTGGGAACAACAACAGATCACAGGGGAGGGAGCAACAGGCAACCCCCTCCCCTTCCCGGGCAAACTTTTGTTTAAATGGGACTATTTCACTTCTCAGAGTTGGTAAAAAGCAAAAAATCAGCCTTGAACCTGAGGAAGGCAATAAATGGTTACATAAGAAACATTACTATTTAGGTCACTCCGAAATTTGATTCCAGATTTGGTCTTGCCTGAGAAGGTAGAGTCTACTTCAGGAATAATCCCTTGGTCTGCTAATCAGGGTTATGATAAGAATGCTTTGCAATACCTGAATATTCCATGGCCTACTGATCAGGGGTAAGAATGACAACACAGATGACTTGCATTTACCTCCTGTCCTTCCTCCTTTTCTGAGGAGGCAGTACGAGTGATCAGGGTGGAGTGATTCTGCAGCTCCATGGGTGGAGGTAACGGTACTGCCTCAATCGGCTCCAGATTGTCTTCGTCATCGACTGGCGATTCAGGGGGAACTGTGGTTGCGGATGGGCGGGGTGCCAGGAGATCCTCTTGGCTCACTGCTGACACACGCTCCTGAAGAGAGAGAGAGAGAGAAAGAGGAAGAAAAGTGAGGAATTGAGGCAAAGCAGTGTTGATGACTCTTGGTACCTGGGTGGGAACTTATGCAGTTGGAACAGGCTTGCAGGTTGATAAGTACATTGTAATGATGCAAACATAACGCATGCAAAATTAAGTATGTTTTTTCAGCATGTCGCAGTGCAAAAGGAACAACTCTTTCAAAATGATTCCAGCAATACTCAATACAATAGTGTCAAGCACATGAGAAATTCACATGATTTGCAGTGTACGTGTACAGTATCAAACCACAAGTGGGTGTCTGGGTATTAGATCACGCATAGTCAGGTAACATGCAACTGCTGTACAGGTATACCGACATGGAACTGGAAGAGATCAGACAACTCAACTTTGGCATTTTGCCATCACATGGACTCTTTTTAACCAAAGATGATCTACCAGCAAGGATGACAATCAAATGATTTAAGGAATTCAATCCTCTTTCAATTGCATATTTTCTGGAAAATAAAAGGCAGGTCTCTTTAAAATGCTATTTGGATAATGAGTGGCTGGTATTTTTCATGTAAAGAGGGAATGTTTCTATGAAGAACAGTGAATATCTCAGTCACATCCAAACACAATATGCGCTGTGAAATATCCAGGGCAAGAAATGACATGAAAAAACAATTGCTGCTGTCATGCAGCAAAATGGAAAACAGATGCCAACGGCTTGATGATCAATCATTGGTGATCATATCAACTTATACACAAATGGGTTTACAAGCGACAGTAAACAATTTGCATTCATGATCAATTATTCCCAACTATGAATTTCATTGTCACTGTTGCAAAGAACTTTCTCACAAAAGCCACTTTTGTTCGAGCATCACTTTGTTGAATATTTCCTTTTAAAATTTTGTTAAAGGAAAACTATTTTCACTAAAACTGCCACAATTTTCCAACCAATAGACAAACAAACTGCCTTTTGCAAATTTTCCTTTAAGATTTCAAAGACCCAGAAATCCACAAATTCAAAAATTTTAGAGAGTAAAATAAATGCCCTCAGTGCTACCTCTAAAGGACAAGATCTAGACAGGGGATATGTGAACAGGTATAGGCATGCAGCACATAGCAAGGCACAGGGTGCTTAGGGAGACAGGGTCTAAACCAAGCATGGGTGTCAAAATGGTGAAGAAAAATGTGCATATGTACATGTAGGTGACGGCTGGGTCCACTCACGTCTTCCAACAAATCTTCTCCAGCAGCTAGGGGTGGGTCCTCTTTCAGAGGGTCTTCCTCATTGGCTTCATCACCAATTTGTTGCTATGGGAGGGGTATTATATGCAAATGATTTCATACAGCAGATTCTTTCAAAATGTGAATTGCATCACCCATCTTGATTATGTGTGCAGGTAAGATACACAAATACCATGACAGGTTAATATAGAAATAAGGCCATCAATTTTCATCATACATTTATTGATAGGGGAACTCAAAAATATGCAAATGAATCGTGAAGTGCAGCCAAAGTGGTTTTGTTACATGTTTCAAATCACTTTGCATGTTACACAAGTGTAAACAGACTTATCCTAGGTGACCTTTACATAGCTGGGTTCTGCTGATGTCTGGAAAATAAATTAGTTCATAATCACAGGTTTAAAAACTGTGCTAACTTTGCAGTGGCAGAACGATGATGTGAGGTCAAGTTGAGAATGCAAGGACGGCGGGTGAAGAGATGGTTGGAGATTGAGGACCATGAGTGATAGGTGAATTCGAGTGTCTTCATAAGTGTTGGGATACAACAACTTGTCAAGTGAACATTATCATCAGGCAGAATTGAACCTGCTCCAAGTTCTTATGGTCATTACCATTTGCAGTCTACAAGTACATGACATCTACTGATAGGAAACCCAATGTACAAAAATCACTCTCGCAATTAATTAGATGAACATCTGTAACTGACAGAAATCTAATCAGTTTGAACCTATGCTCAAAGTGCTAATTTTAATTAGTTTCAATTAATTAAATATATTAAAAAACAGTTATTAATCACCTTACTGCTACTAATCATCAAGAAATTCTCATCTTTGAACTACATAAAAGGAATTGAAAAGAAACTTTAACTCATATTTCCGCTAGTTAAAAATCACACAATCAAATAAACTGTTTCACTTGAGAACATGCATCACCCAACAGACTTTACACGGCACTTTAACAACTGTTATTCTTGTTCTTGGTTTAGCTAGTCATGGGATGAGAGCCTGCAGACAGCCTATCCCATTGGGAGGTATTCATTGTAATCTTTAACTCAGCTTGGTAATTAATACTGCAATTAGTGAGTCAATGTTGATGATCAGGGGTTTTGCTTTCAGCTTGTCAGTTCAATTTGATCTCTTGATTTCAAATACAACCCTCTCAATGTCACATGATGAAAAAAAAATCTCTGAGCTGTATAGGTATAGGAGATATGGTTGAAAAGTATATTGAGGCTGATGAGAGGCTTAAGTATGTGAGCAATGCGATGTCTGTCAGGCAGTAACAGAAACTGGAGATTAAGAATAGTGCCATCAGAAACAGATTATCCAATTGCATTGTGGGACATCACACAGACAGGAGACCATATCCAAAACAGTCTTCCAGAGCTACATGTACCGGTATGGGTGAACATCTGCTGTCTGCGGGAAACAGCATACTTACAACTGGCAAGACCTAGACTTTGCTCTAGATAGGCTTGGATGCACTAACCTAACCATACAATTCCTGACAATGCTAGGTGCACTGAGCCATCTAGCACCTTGACTAATTACAGTACCTCGCTCTGAAAACAAACTTATCATGGGATCCATCTGATAACCAGTCAAGTAAGTTGACATCACCTACATGTGCATATTTAAATAGTCCCCATCAACTGTACGTGCAACTAGGAGAGCAAGGTTATAATTTACCCTAAAATACCGGTACAGCACAGCTCAGTGGAAAATCCAAGAATCTCTGAAAAATTCTTATTTCCTACATATCCACCAAACAATAGTCTGTGAAACAGACAAACACACCCAACTGGGATTTGGTGGGCACATTGTTGGCTTGTCTGTGCAGTAAAGTAACAACTGCAGCAATGACAAACATGAAACACAACAACATTTGGAAATCCAGGATATCACTTCCCTCTGAATTCCACAACCCGTTTCCTACCTTGTAGCTCACCTTATTTTGTTGTGTCTCTATCCGTTCTTCCCCCAACGATGATCTTTCATCAACTTAATGCATGCAAACATCAAGGTGAATAACACATGCTAACACATGTGAGCCACAGACCGTTATTACTCCTGAGGCCAATTAGAAACGGGATGGTCGCCCTGGCAACTGATGATGTCACATTGTATTTTTGTGTGGCCTGTGGATCAGTTCTGACTAGCACTAGAGGGACCTGGCAAAGACCTGATATACTATTCTGTGCTGTAAACAAACTGTGGACGGGGAGGAATAACATGTTGATTCCATTTTTAAGGCGCGGTAAAAAATTGTATCCTAAAGAAATGCAAAGACAACCCACATCTACATGTACCTACCACAATTTTAGAACCTGAAAGCAGCTAAGAGCTTGGTTAGCTGTTTCGGTCTCCGGCCGAAACAGCTATTGTTTTTCTTAAGGTTGTTTCTTTTCTTTTTTTTTTTGATTTTTGAAAAAGCCTCTCTGTTCGTCAGGATTTTTTGGGGGGAGTTCTTCTTTTGGGGCCAAAAGCGCAAAGACTTTGCACACGTTTTTCTGTGCAGCACTTTTGCCATTAATCTTTGTTGCAAAGTTGGCATAGGTATAGTCATTATTCCATGAACGTGATGTCATGATGACATCATCGTGGGTCATGTGACGTCATCACAAAGTCCATTATTTCAGAGCCCTATATCTACAGAACGAGGTCCGATTGGTTTGAAACTTGGTATGTTATTAGACCGGGATGTGTTCTAGATGAAATTTGTGATGAAGTCATCATGACCTCCTCAAGCAATCAATATGTATGTTTTAGCTTTTTCGAATACTTTTGGCCATATCTCACTGATGCAATATACTAATTACAAAACTGTTTTGCATTAGAAGCCTTGGAAGTAAAAATTCTACGAAAAAGCCCAATGCTCTGTTGCAAACAGACACAGAACCTCCTGGTTTTTTTTCTTCTTTTCAAATTTTTTGCTACTGACATAACATGGGGTTATTCTACACACCACTTTTGGTCCTTACTTTGGGCCAATTTACTTCAAACCTGGCACATTGTTACACTACCACCCAAGGACGTATGCCGAATCATGACGTCATCATGACATCATCACCTGATTTATTACAGAATTTTGAATATTGAATGTTTGCCCATTTGTTTTGTACACGTTTTCCAACAGCCAGAATGGCATGCACTTTGGCCACTCCACAAAATGAAACTTGGTCCAACCAAAGACTATACAGCATAGATGGCCATAGAGGAATGACGTTAGTTTGACATCATAATTAGATTTATTATTTAATTTTGCAGAAAATGTGGACACAGGTTTCGGAGCATTATGCAAAGTTTCAACGGTCACAAGTTGCTGATATTTTAAAAGTACTCCCATGTTTCTAGAGCATAAAAAACGTATTTATATAATACACAATAGTGAAATGCCTTAATGCAGTTTTTGTCTTTTCTTTTATAAAAAGTAAGGACACTCTAACATTCTTTATCTCAACTTAACTTCAGACCGCTTTCAGTATTCAATATTTTGAGTGTACGTGCATTTCTAAACATATGCTTAAATTCCACAATCTGAGTTTGTGCTGCTGTGCACTTGCAGATACAGTTGTTAAAAGTAATCATTTGTCCACTTACTGTCGATAGGAAATAAGATGTACTTTTGAAAGAATTGTCCGAAATTGATGTTTGCATTATATTTCTTCCTGTCTTTGAAATCGACGTCTCTTAGTTTGTGTATACCGATGGCCCTAACAGTTCCATATCCTCTGGTGTTAAGATGATTTTACATGGTCACGGTTACAAAGCCGTACACTGTATTGCAGAGAATCCTCCCGGCAAACCCCTTACGAGAAAACTGCAGTGCACCCTCACTTGATGGTATTCCACGTTTTGTATTACGTGACTGATAATTTCCCTACGTTCGATCATATTTTCGCCAGGGATGAGGCAAGAAAGTATGCAGTGAATTGAATTAAGCATTAGCATTTGAAATAACTATTCATTGTTAGTTGCCCATTTTTCTTTAAAGTAGGCAAGGGAAACATTTTGTTTGTCTCTAAGATCCCAATCAAGGTCATCTTATTCTAAAAAGATATTGAAGAATGTTGATTTTTGGTCTCGCAATCACATACAAATGAAACTTAACTGAAAGTCTAATAACAAGTTTGTGAAGTCCGTTGTCAGCAGCCCTATACACGTATCTCCTGAATAACAAATGCACATATTCCATCGGGATGAAATTTCGCAGATAATTAGAAAAGAGAAATGTTACAGACAAACACTGAGCTCGTGATGATCTCATGATCATCAGGTTACAATTCACGTGACATTAATACATGTACATGTATTGCATTCTTTGAGGTGCTATATCTCCTGAAATACATGTCTGATCAGGTTGAAACTTTAAAGATATGTCTATCTAGATGTATTGTAGATGTGTGATAGACGAAAATTGACCTCATGGGATAATGACGTCATCAGATGACAAGTCATGTGACATTAAATATGCATCATTTCAATCTCTATATCTCTTGAAGTACATGTCCGACCCGGTTGAAACTTTGCAGATATCTGTTAGGGGGTGTGTGATAGACAAAACTGGACCTCGTGGGTTGATGACCTCATCAGATGACAAGTCACGTGACATTAAATATGCGTCATTGAAAGCTCTATATCTCTTGAAGTACATGTCTCAGCCGGTTGAAACTTTGTAGATATCTGTAACTGGGTTTGTGATAGACGAAACTGGACCTCGTGGGTTGATGACCTCATCAGAGTCACGTGACATTAAAAGTGCATTCTATAAAGCCCTATATCTCCATTAGTACATGTCCCAGCGGATTGAAACTTGCAGATATGCAATCATGACAAACAAAAGGTTCCCCAAACAGCTCTGTGTTTGTCCACAAACACATCTCATTAACAAATATTATTGCTGATGTAAATTTTTAGGGGTAGGTATCACAATAACCGCACTTCAAATCTGGGATATACAAGGCAGAAGTGGGTTTTTTAAAGAGTACTTTTCAAATAAGCAAATAAAGCAACCAGGGAGAGAACCTAAGCAAAGATCAGAGAGTCTAGAATGCCAACTCCTGAGCA